GCTGGGACAGGTGAGTACCATCACGTCCAGCTAATTTTTTCCTTTGAGTAAGAGTCTGTCGCCCGGCAGGAGTGCAGCAGCACGCTCACATGGCCTCGTCTTTTGTATTTATTGTAGAGGCGCGGTCTCGCCAAATTGCCCAGGATGGTCTCGAACCCCTGGACTCAGGCAATCCTCTCGCCTCTGGGAGTGCTGGGATTGCAGGCGCGAACCACCATACCAGGCTGTACTTTACAGAGACGAAGTCCCCCTGTGTTGGCCAGGCTGATCTCTGGGGAGTAAGCGATCCATGCGCTTCCGCCTCCCAAAGTGTTGGAATTAGAGGCGTGAGCTACCGCGCCCAGTCTAAAAGGTAACTGTGTTATTGATAAGCCATCATTCAGCTTTAAAACGTGGTGAAGCATTTCCAGATCCCTCGTCAGGCACGAGTTCAGCAACTCCCTCCTTTGTCACGTCGGGGCTGTTGAGACTCTGAGGCGATGAAAGAGACTCCGGGCACTCCAGCCTCCAGGAGCGGTCACGCTTGGCCCGGACATTTTTGACTAAGTGCTGCCTCCTGGCGGCGGCTCTCTGCCCGACACCTGCCCAGCTCGGTGGGAATCTCCGTTTGGAATCTCGAAGCTGATGCAACAGCTCCCCCGAGGGGGCGGGGAGTCGGGAACCCACCGCGGAAGAGACAGCCTTCCGGAGACCCCTCGCCTGGCCCCAAGCAGGCCCCGCCTCCCCCCCCCCCGCCCCGGGCTTCCCAGTCTAGGCGTCCCACCCAGTTGCAGGCTAGCGTCAGGGCTGGCGGCAGGGTTGCCGGGACTGGGGACCCCTGCCCCGACCCCTCGTCTGGCGGCCAGCTCCAGCTGGATGGGGAGGATATCCGCGGTCGTTCTCATTCCCCCAGAGCAGGGCCGCCAGGCCGGGACGAGGAGGGAGCAGGGGAGCGGGCTGTAAGGCCTCTCGGTTCCCGGACGTGTGTCCCCTGCGCCCACACCCACCGCAGCCCCCTCGTCTAGCGCCCCCTATCCTGGAGGAGGGGCGGGGGCTGCTTGGCCAGGTGGAGGGAACGGAAAGGACGCCCGATGGGGTGAGGACCTGGTCCCCCAAGGCAGAGCTGGGGCGGGTCCCCGCGGCCAGACCAGGACATCAGGGGCGACCCAGCTCTTCAGATGGGCGTTGAGGGCGGATGGAGGTTGAGTCCGGGCCTGGGAAGGCTGGACCTCCTTAGGGCCGCAGACACGGAACCGGGGTCCCGAGAGAAGGAGGGACCAGCCGGGAAACGGTGGGGGCTTGGAGAGAGCACGGGGTGGGGGCGGTGTGGGAGAAAGGGGCAAAGGTGAGCGCGGCGAGCTGGCTGTGCGGGGGCGTAGGGGGGATGGGAAGGGGCGAGGAGTTGGGGGGCGGAGGGAGCTT